GCTGTAAATTCAGTGATGTTTGAATTGGCTAATGACTGCCAAAACAACTTTACAAAGCTTTGTGAATTAAAATAATTATATTTCTATTTTAATAACTGCTGTGGATTACAGCACCTGGCCGAGGAGCCAGCTGGGTGCCACAGGCAGGGCAGCAGAAGGAGCTGGCAAAGGCCAGGATAAAGAGCAAGGGGTGGGAAAAGATGCTGTTGCAGGTGGGAAGAGAGGACATGCTGGGACTGGCAGGAGATGTTGCCTTGCAGCTGCTTGCTTTCCTCTCAGTGACGCTGCCCTCGCATGCATGCTGTAGCAATCCTCAGAGCAAACCCTCCCTCTGCTGTTCCCCCTCAGCGATACGTTGATGGAGGATTCACTGGCCTGCAGCCTGTTTCCAGCTTGGAGGAAGCCGTGATCACTGTGTCCCCGTTCACGGGAGAGCTCGACATCTGTCCGCGGGATTGTCCCGCCATCTTCTTCTGTTTCCAGATCTTCAACGGCAGCATTCAGATCTCGATAGAAAACCTCTGCAGGATTAGCTATGCTCTCTTTCCGCCTAGCACCATGGTAAGCCCACCAGGTCTTATTCCCAGCTTTGTTTTGGTTAAAACAAATTAATACTGGACCTGCCTTCCAAAGCTTTAAGGTTCAGCTCAATCTCCATCGTTAATTAATCAGATTGCAAGGGCAGTGCATTTTTTTGGTGGATACTGCTGATGGGTGGCCAGCCTGGGATGGGATCCGCTCTGGTTTGACAACCTGCAAAGGAGCAGTGCTTTGGTGGTTGGAAACCAGCCTGTGCTTGCTGCCTTCCCAAATGGGCCATCCCAACCCTCCACGGTCAAACAGCCTTGGGTAGATCCTGCCGGTGCCTGGATGGAGGGCTCTTGAGTGACCTCAGGTGTTTCTCCTTGCAGGTCTTGAATGACATTTTCTCCCAAGGGTACCAGGACACTGCCCTTTTCCTGTACAGGAACAGTAAGTGTTACCCCCAGACCCAAAGGGCAGCCTGGAAGCGTGACCCACTGCCCATCGGCATTGCGTGGCCGATGCAACAGGCCAAACATCAGCCCTTTCTTTTCGTGTCTCACAGATGCCTTTGGCTTTAACTACTTCGACGGCAATTTCCGTTTCGCCAGCATGTGTGGGAAGAACGACCTTCCACAACCCAGCAGGATGTTCACCGGCCTATGCAAAAGGGTACCGCAGTGTCTGGCTCCTTGCTTCCTGCCAGGTAGAGGATTTGGGGTACTGATCTTGGGTTTTGGGGGCAGCTGGGGCCACTGAGGGCTGCTGCAGTCTTTGAGAGGAGAAGTACTATATTTAAGACATTACTGAGGTATTTTCTACAGTAAATACTTCTGTATCTGCAGTAGCCATTCGCAAAGAGGCTTTGTAAGAACGGATCAAGCTGGATCCTGGGCTTCAGTACCTACAGGCTGAGCTGCAGCAAGAGTTGCTGGACAAGAGGAATTATTGCATTTATTGGGTTATTTCTAATTATTGGTCTTTATTTACTTCTGTGTTGTCATTCATGGGCACAGGCTTGGCTCTGTGGAGGAAGGAGCAGGTGACTGGACTGCAAGATCCACTGTCGAAGGTCCTGTTGCAGCCATACAGGCTGCCAGCTTTTGTCAGGAAGGGGTAAGAACATCTTGATAGAGGCATCGAAGCTGAGGGTGACACAGAAACCAGTGGTTGTGCCTTCAGCAGTGGCAAGACAGCTGAAGGGACACGCTGCAAGATTAGCACGAGGCACGCAGGTCCCTGCAAGCCCAGTGTTGGGGTGTGCAATGGGCTGTAGCGTCCTTCAGACGGCAGCTCCATGGGAAACACTCGGGGCAGCCTCCGGGGCAGTGCGGGCTGGCGGCGAGTCCCTCCTTTTCTATGGACCAGGGCAAGCTGATGCACATCTGCATAAACCGGCTTAGCGGCATCCCCTTCCTCTGCAGGAGGATTTGGTATTCCCTGAAGACAAGCTCTCAGGGAGAGTGGGTACGCCTAGCAGGAACACCATAGGATTGCTTGGTTATGAAAAAGAGTATTACAGTGTGGATTTACCATTAACACCGTCCCCCTTTTGCTGCATTTACTGGTCATTAAAATCTGCCTGTTTATTTTGGTTTTGCAGGCTGAAGAAGCTGTGGGGGCTGCTGGAAGGTATCAGCTCCACGGTAAAACGGTTCCAGAAGCTCCTCCAAACCATGGTGCCTGGTTTGCCCAAGAAAGCCGTGGCCACGAGGTGAGGTGCTCGGGGGATGCAAACCCTCAGCAGAGGGAGAGCAGGGAAACCCCGAGGGACCTCACCCATGGGTCAGTGCTGCTAAGCGTGGCTAAAAATTCCAAATCTGGGGTACCCCACATTAAAAGTAGCTAATTTTTGTCCCTGTGACATTATTTATTTAGTGACATCTGAAAGAAGCTATGAACTAGCTTAGTGCCCCTTCCCTACGGCAACATATTCTTGTTCCAGAGCATTTATCTGCTGGGCTGTGTCCTAGCAGGACATCAGGCACATTCACCAAGATCCTGAGAGGTGTTTTGGCACTAAACTCTCAAGGATTCAAGGCATTTAACTTGTCACACAGATAGCTTTTAAGCCATGCCTCCCTAAAACCTGCTTGCAAGTTACTTCACGCGCAGCTGGCGAAGAGACTTGCATAAAATGATTTCACACTGCACGCAGCTACACAATTCCTCAGTAATGAAAAAGCTCTTCAGTATCAAATGTCCCTGGGGCTTCTTGTCCCTGTTGGATCATTGACCCTGACTCAACTAACTGCCAGTTTGTTCCCGTAGGTAACCGTCCTGGATGGGCCCTGGGGGTCTCAGACATCATGCGATTCTGCTGCCCCGGGAAGCGGTTGGAAGACACCGAAGCTCATTTCACGCAGTGGCACGGCTGCTGTTTTTTATGGAGTATTTTGGGGGTGGGTTTTTCACTTGGGGAAACCGACCAATTTTGTTCGCAGCGCTGCTGCTGCAGTCTCCCTGCCCAGGCCTGACCTGCTTTAACGTGACGGCTGAACCACAGTCTGCGCGGGGGAGACTGGGCATCTTTACTTGCACGCGTGTGCAGCCCGGCTGCCGGTTTCCCTAGCCACTCCACTTGCTGATCACCAGCAGCACCCCTCCCCCTGCTTTAATGCAGATTACAGGGCAGACATTTGCCAGGAAATGTCACATTTTAAGTGTTTGCCTTCCATTCAAAAACTTTCAGAGAGATTCATCAAACAGAAAACAGAGGGAGGGAGGAGCCTTAGGGAGCATCACACTGGGCAGGAACTCATTTTTATCCAGTTTCTTGAAGTTATTTTACCAATTACCTATTCTTAAGCTTCATACACCCTCGGAGGTCTGCTCCTCCTGACAGTGGAGGTAGGTGAACATTTGGACCCCTCTGAATTGGCAGCTGTGGAGAAGGATGGAGAAACCTAAAGATTAACCTCCCTCTACTTCAAAGTACCACAGTCTTGCAGACGGCATCTCCTATTGCACTGGGAGAGCTGACATTTCACAAATACATTTGTTCTTTCCACGTGATCTTCTGTAACTCACTGCTATGAACAGTGTATGGTCCAGGCAAACACACCTCGTGTTCCTGGTCTGTACATAGAATGAATTGGCACTCTAATCATCCCAAGAACAATTTGCACATCAGAGGCTGATGGATTAACTGTACCCCAACTGTCTCCCCTGTTTGTTGGCTCCCGATGGGCAACAAACGGATCACAACAGCACAAGCTGTTTATTTCAATAAACAGCTTGTTTAATTGCACAAAGAGAAATGGTACGGGGGAAGTTTCATCCAAAGCACCCTGGAGACTGCAGGCATGAATGTGGGGAATAGCTGAAGGCTGCATTAATGTAAACAGATTCAAAATTAACTATGAATGCTCAGTGAAAGATTAATATAATATGTTCCGCTATCTCTGGTTGAAAGCAATGACCCGGGAATATTTTCTCTGCAATGAGCTTGCTAAAAGAAACCTGGATGCTTATTTGCATTGGATCCATTAAAACCTACTCCTGTCTCTCTTCCATCCTGGATGGATTTACATCTCTCAAGCCCTGCAGCCAAAGCTGGGCTGCTCAAAACCAGCTCGTGAACTGTGACTATGTTCCTGCCACAGGTCAAAGTGGAGAGGGTGCAGAGACACCCACTGCTCCCTGGGCAGGAGCAGGGCCAGTCAGCCCATCATTTGCTTTTGCTCATACTGCACTTCTGCTTTCCCTCCCAGGCAGACAGTCTCACTTCTGCAACAGCCCTTCTAGCAGGCTCCTGGTCTTCCTAGCAAGCACCACCATCTCCAGGCAGGATATAACCATTTTAGTCAGCCTCAGGCACTTGCACTATCCCTATTCAAATGTGAATTAAATCCCCCGAAGAAAATTCTAATATAGGAATTAGACATCCAAATCCACTAAATTTGTCTGCAAATCTCAGCCACAAACAGGAGCATATTTTGAACTACCAAGTGCATCCCACCTGCCCTTACATGGCATGGTGCTTGATCATTAAAAGTTAATATAACTTCGAGAACTTTAACAAAAAATAGCTCAAGGAACACCCAAAACAAAATGGTCACAGCACAGAGCCCTCCTGCTCCAAACCTGCAGACATATGCTAAGATATAAGTATTTATTGACTCATAATTCAAATTAGCTGTCTTTTGCTTTATTAATCCCCACCTTTTCAAGCAAGCACACCTGATGCTGTCTCTGCATGAGCTTGGAGCTAATGGCAAAGGGAGGCTCTGCCAGAGGCAATGGATAGAGGCAAAGTTTGGCATCTCTTGGCTCTCAAGGAGCTTGTTTTCTCCCTAGGGAAGCAAGCTGGGAAACCCAGCTGCATGCAATTCAAACCAGCTGCAATAGATCCTGTCTTCAGCCTGAAATGCCTCCTTCAAATGTGGGTCATGGGAATCATCTGAGGTCTGTGGGGGGGATAGGAGGGGGGTTGTGGCCCTGCCCGTGCTGGTGGCATTGCTGCTACAGCGTGCTCTTCACTGCGTTTCGGTGTCTGCCTGCAGGCTGGGTTGCAAGCTGCTCTTTCTCTCTTTAAAACTGGGGCCAAAGGCAGCAGCGGGGTCAAAAATGCTCTTCTGTGGTTGGCGTGGCCCTAAAGGGAGTAAAATCACATTGGTCAATCTGACAGACACTTCTGGCAGTTCTTGTGAGACAAACTGGATTCAAATACCTGATCAGGGCTGCTTCCCCCCCTCCTGTTGTCTACAGGGTAATGGAATAAGCAGGTTTTAATACCCTTAAAATAATACCCCCATACCACTGTCCTGTTGCTTGCCCTGGTCTGCATTGAACTCAGAGACATGAAGCCTGAGGTGGATGAGAGTTTGGAGACAACCCAAGTCAGCAGGAGCTTTCTCTAAAGCTCGATCCCATTGCAGATCTAGTGGGGAGGGGAGTCCTGGGGCCTGATCCATGCAATTGAGCCAAATGAAAACAAGTGTGTCCAATGCTGGCTGTGTCTCTGGCTGTTGGCTGCAGGTGCTTCATGCCAGACTCTGCTTCTAGTCTACTTACTAGGGAGGGTGCACCCCATTGTGCAAGTGTCCTGGAGGGCACAAGGATAAAAATGCAAATGCTTGTGGTTAACCTGCTAATCCAGCCTGAGCCTTGCTGGTGTGCAGGCTCTACCGCAGCAGCAGTCCTTTGGAGATATTCTGACTTATTCAGGAAAACAGGTGTGAGTTGTTCACAGGCTTATACCCTTGCTTATTTGGTAACATCAATGATATTACAGTATTGTGCAGATAAACATAAAATAGCCTTTTCCTGGCCTAGATCATCAGGGCTTTCCCTTCCCAGACCTGAAAAATCCAATCTGCTTCTCCTCTTGAGACTGAGAGTCCTGACTTACCTCTTGGTTGCTCTCTGGCCTAACAAATGAGTCTTAATTCCTTCCACAGATGACCTTAGGTTGGTGCAAAATGTTGCAGCCCAGCTGCAAACCGGAGACCAAGAGACTCCTTATAGCCCAGAGCCTGCCCAACCTCCAAAGAAACCTGGTTCCTACTATGTTGCTTTCAAAAGCTCCATGTAGTTCGGACTGATGAAGCCTTTCAAAAAGCAAACATGGAAGCAAACTGTACAGCCTAACACTGTGTCCTGCATTTCTATAGTGGGTCTCTCCCCATAGGTGGAGTTGTTTGGTTTTGTTTTCAATGGAAATGTCGTCTTTGCATTTATTTTATGTTTTCCAAGCTTTTATTTTTAGATCTGGAATGGTGACGGTCCTGTTCTTTCCCCTTTATATTCCTCATTTGGTGTGGTCCTTGCAGATACAACAGAACAGTATTTGTGTCTTTTTTCACTATTTCTTTAATTTATGTGGCAACATTTTAAACCATCATCATGTTGGAAAAGTAGTGTAATTTTTCCTAAGCTGACAAATTCTGAAATGCTGAAAGACTCAGAAAGAAAAAGAAAATAAATAATAAAATTGTAAGAAATGTTGCACTCCAGCACATACTTCTTTGTATTCTGCTAGTAACAGTAAGGCAAACTGGAATCCGAAATGCTGAGGGTTCACCAGTTTTCCATGTCAAAACTGAAATGGAAGAGGGCATTATTTTGCATAGGATTGCAGAAAACTAGAAGTTTTGGATTTAAACCTGCCCTGTGTTGCTTAAAAATCATACAGGTAGAGGTTTACCCGCAGCTTTAATAAGCTTTTCTTGCACTTAAGTATTTACACATGGCTGCACACCAGAGTCACTAAGTAGAAATTTTGATTTGACTGGCACAGCAAACCCAGCTCTAACTATTGAGACACTACTCCTTCCCTTGCCCTTAATGAAATGATGCGTAGGTAGAACCTGTTATTACCTTGCAAGGTGAGTAAATGGCTTTCTTCATAGAAAGAGCTACTTCTCCAAAAAGCCCCTCTGACCTGGCCACAGCCTAAATCCTCAAACCTCACCCAAAACAAGTTCAGCATGACGCTTCACTAATAACCATTGACCCAAGAGGGGACTCTCTCCCATTCCTGATGTTCTCACCTATTGGAGCCTGCAAAAACCCAGACAGACTCTTTTGGCAATGAGAGTCCTGGGCAAGTGTCACTTAGCTAATGAAAACTGATGGGGTAAAGGAAATACTGGTCCTCTACCTTTCTGATGGTGGAGAAGGTGGTGTGGGGCTTCCTCTTCCACTTCATCTGCTGCCTGGATGGTCCCTGGATTCTCTTTTGCGGCTCTGCAGCGAAGTACTCTTGTTTCTGGCTTCCAGTGAGGGGTCCCTTCACCTTTCTGACATGATTCATTGGCCAATGAAAGCATAAAGTCCTCATCAAAGTAATTTATACCAAATTCACCTGGTGGGAAGAGAATCCAGCTCTCACTGCTTGTTGCTCAATTACCAGGTCTCCAGCAATGTGAGGCATGACCAGGAAAATCAGGGGACTGATGACCATAGTGCATGGCTAATCTGAGTTGGGTTTCTGGGTCAGGGATCACCAAACATTGCTGCTTTGTGCATCAGTGGGTTATCAGTCTAACACCACACAGGGCCCTCGAGCCTACACTTGCCTCCTGTCTAGGTCCTGGGGACCTGCACTCCCTGGAAAGCTCTACCATGCCCAGTGTGGCAGAGAAGAGGGGACCTAACATCATCAGAAGGGAAAGGGTGAACAGGGACCTTCAGGAGAGGCCACAGAGAGGATGGGACTCAAGTAATCCTGGCAATGCCAGGGATGCAGGGATCTCTCTGTCCTGGTCACTCTAGATGCGCTGGCAGTACCTCTTACCTTCTGTCAGCAAACCAACGTTGTAAGAGAAGCACCCGACCTACCTGCTCCTCACTCCCAATCACTTACTCAGCCTTTTTAAGAAGGAGACTGTGTCCTGGTAGCCATGGATATAAAACTGGTCCAGAACCTGCAGGGGGGAGGTAGCAGTCAGAGCAGATGGGCCAGCTATAGGGGCCTCGTGGCTCTGGGTACCTGTAGAAGCAGCTCACTTGAGGTGTGGGAAGCTGAAAAATATACTGCAAGCGGAGGATGTTTCTTTTTGATATGTATAAAACACAATCAGAGATTTGGAAAGTTAAGAAGGCAGCTGGGGTATCTTTGGGACAGATGTCATATTCGCCGGCGAAACCAGACACCGTGATTGTGGTCCGGTCCACGAAGTTGGCCCGCCACATGCCGATTTCCCCATCAATGTAACGCTAGGAGAGAAAAGAAAGGACCTTGAGCCTTCCTCTTGTCACAGAGAAGAGTGCTGCATCACATGTGCATGCATTTGGGGTTTCTTCCCCACCCAAGCCCAAACTAGACTGACGTACTGGGGCTACAGAGATCCCCTTCCAGGGAAGAGCCCTGACCACTGTCCTATGTGTTCCACGCCTACACCCACCACCTTCTCCCTTCCAGCCGAAAAATTATTCTTTAATGAAACTGGGGGAAAGTGCAGTAGAAAGGAGTTGAGCTAACCCCATGGACTGGTGGGGATGGACGCTTTTGTGAGAAGGTCAGTTCTGTCTGCAGTGAGGTCAGATTGTGGGGCACCTGGGTTAAGTTCTTCCCCCTGCAGACGCTGTGTGAACACAGCACCAAGCAACTTTGGTGGCAAACACAGGTATAAACATGCTTAATGCCACCACTGCAGAAAGGACACAGGCTAGATGGGCCCTTGGCCTGACCCGGGATAGGGTCTCCAGACCACAAGCTACTCACCACCCCATGGTACATAGGAGGTAAAAATCCAAAATACAGAGGGATGAAGCAGCTGCACATCACGGCCTGTGGGTGAGATGGAAAGCACGGAGGTGAGCAAAGAGCCACAAAAACCTGTTGCCTTTGGGAACGGTGGCTCATCTGTGAATGCCAAAATGGGGACCCACGGCTGGGTTATTGGGCACCACTGACTATTGTGGACCAGACCATGTCCGATATCCACAGCCAGGGTTGGAGAGGTAGGAAGGTAATCTGTGAAATACCTCATTTTGCTCCCTGCGTACTCAGGCCCTGTAGATAATTCAGCTAGCAATCAAAAGGGCTGATCTTTTATTATTTTCAGCTTGTGACCCTGTCTGGCTTCAGAAGGTGGCAAGGACAGAAATCATGGCATGGACTACTGCGAGGCCCCAGGCTTCCCCCACGGATGCTGTGAGGCACGGACAGGCAGTAAATCCCACGCAGCTCCTCCCCGCGCAGGGTGGTGGTGGCTGCTCTCACCTGAATGAGGTCCTCCCTCGAGGCAAACTCTGAAATCACCACGCTTCTGCAGTCACGCACACGGGTAACGATAACATGCAGCTTTCCAGATACTAGCTCGTGGGCGTTCGTAGGCAGATATTTGCTTAACAGATCCTTTAGGATTTTAAGGGCTCTTCCTCCAAGGAGACAGAAAGAGTTTTTCACAGTACTGAGGAAGGCCAGCTTCAGCTCATCTAAAGCAAAGCAAAGCAATCATTCCACACCTCTTATATTATTATTTATGTACTTTCTGGGCTGCACTTCCACCTGGTAAAGGGCCATTTTACCATGCTGGTAAATGCTCATAAAGAGCCATTATTTTCATCAGGGCTGAAGCTCTCATGAGTGGTCCCAGATTTTCCAAGAACCTTCAATATTGCAGGAAGCAGAAGTATTCTGTTTTCCCATTTCTCTCCATTTCCTCCACAAGACTTCTTAAAAATTTTTGGAGATATGGGAGAAAATTGACAGGAAGCCTTTGTGTAATATTTTCTCCTGTTGGCTCTGCATCTGTGCCCCCTAATGTATTTCTCAGCTCTGTGACTGTAACTTTCTTTTTATTTCATGCAACAGCACACTGATCCTCTCCATATTCAATATTTTCACTCCCCTCTGAGTTTTGGGAATCTACCAACAACCCCAAATGCCTTATTAGGGAGGGCACTTCTGTTTCTTATATTAGATATGCTTACCATTAATTCAAATAAGATGCAATGCCTTATTTAATAACTATATCTAGTCTATTTTCTCTGTGCTGGTTAATTTACCCATGTTTTCCACTCCTAAAGAAGTCAATGAAGTAAAATTCTGAGGAATTAACCACTGATTAAGGGTAATTAAAAAAAAAAAAAAAGATCTTTTGTAACTCCAAAATTTCCAGACATTCGATCTCTTTAGAGACAGAATAAATGGAAGTATATAGCCCTTACCTATCTTACAGTCACACAATGTAAGTGTAGCTACAACCGATCCTGAAGATGCCCCATAGATCCTGGATGCAGATTTCAGTATGTCAGGCGACAATTCCCGGAAAGCAGCTATCACTCCAGCTTCATACAATAGCAAGGAACTGCAGCCTCTAAGCAGTATAGAGAAAGGTCTTCCCTCATTTCCATTTATCTTCATCACCTCTGCTAACACCAAGCACTCAAGCCACGAGAAAGCACCTGCCCAGGACAGGTTCAGAGGTTTTTTCTACAGCCAGCCAATACTTAGCTGTGGCTGTTCCCAATGTGCTTCTGTTCCTGACCACACTCCTGCTGTCTTATATCTCTCTGTTTGACATAGATCTCTAAGCCAAACGTCCAGTGAAACAGCAGCAGTGGGCAGAAGTGGATGACGTGATGTCTTAACACCTAAGGCCACTCATTAAAATAAAATTACTACATCGCAATATGTTTCTAAGGTGTGCACTTAGCTGCTGAAGCCCCAGGCGACGTAGAGGGCCACGTCACACAGATGTTTTGGGGAAGCAGCCCAGGGGCGGTCAGCAGGGCCTCAGAAATGAGGAAAGCTGCTTCCCCAAGCTGGTGGACTGCTTTAGTGGTACCCTGGGGTCCCAGCCTAAATTTCCAGCCTCTTGGGAGGTAGGAACCAGCAAATATCCCCCGGTATACAAGAGTCTTGCAAGATGCTGCTCAAAACTATCTTGCCCCATTTGTAACAGGTTACCAAACCCCATCCCAGGGAGTGGAGAAGTTGGAGAAGGTGGCTGGATTATTAAAGAAATCACAACCAAAGTTGTTCTCCTAGTTTCACAATCTCAGGGTTTGAGTTTGCTTACAAAAGGGTAAAAATACAGAGTCCATGTAACAATCTTGGCTCAGTCTGCCTCCTAAATGGCTGAGGTTTCAGTAGAGCAACAGGTCAATAAAGAAGTAAAGAGGGGGAAAAAAAGTCTGACAAACACAGTAATCTATTGATTTTCCATCCAGAAATGCAAAGCCTTCTTAGCCTTGCAGCTAGGCAAGACATTGGGAAACTGCTACGGGGAAAAGCAGCACTGAAAGCTGGGCAAGAGCAGAAACAGCTGTCCAATGCAAACAATAAGAACTTGGACATATTTCTCTGAGATACATGGAAATCTACCCAATGTCTTCAGGTAAAAAGGCTTCCAAAACCACCTAGGAGATGCTTCTCTCCCTCTTGCTGTCTGTTGAGGCAGTGCTGGGTGAGTTTTGTGGCTGGATGCAGCCCTGATCTATGCAAGGGGGCTGCAAAGCAACCCTGATGATCACGTAGCAGCCGTGCTGGACATCCTGGTGCTAACTGGGCTGTGGTCTCCAGAAAAGCCCAAACTCTTGTTGTCTGAGCACCACTGGCACAGTGTTAATCCAGCTGCAATTCCACATGGAAGCATTATATGTCACCACCCAGCTCCACCCAGGAGCCAAGCCACTAAGCTGCTTATGCACACCTTGCATGAGCATTGCAGATCCCACTGCTGAACTGCAAAGGAAAAAGAGCAAAGAAAAACTGAAGACTCAGGAAGAGAGGAATAAATATATTCCATGCCTAGTCAAGAGAACAAATACACTGGAAATAATTTGCCATCTACCCTTTAGTGTAAGGAAACCCTAAGAATTAACTGCAATGAGTCAATTCCAGAAGCTGCTCTGTGCTGTTTATCGGGTGCAAGAGGGATGTGGCATTTGAAACCCACTGGTGAGCCACGCAAAGGAAGCTCTTGAGATTAAGGAAAACTTCGATGCCCGACTCCAGGACAAGGGCAAAAAATAGAGCCAGCCTTGCAGAAGCAACAACATTCCCACTGCTTCAAGCCTTGGGTTCAAGCCCTCCTCCCTAAGTCAGCACCACGGGCAGGGAGCTAGAAATGTGACGCATTATTGCACTGCTTTCCAAACACACCTGGACAACTCTATTACTCAAATCGCAAACCAAAATCACGGATCAGGCCACACGGGCTATGTTTTACTCTTAATTGCATCTCTGCATTATTGAGATAGTTTTTAAATCCAGTTGTTTTAACTACTTACCCAATCTTGCAGCACCAAGACGTAAATAGTGTTTATAGTGGAAAAGTAAAGAGAAGCCAAGTCTCCACCTGCTTACTCCATCACTAGCAGGTACTGCCATCTCTCCCTGTCTTTCAAACCCTTGGACTATCCCTGGTGTCTTTCAAAAGGAGCAAGGAGTGAAAAAAAAACCTGCAAACCTGTTTACACAGGTCTGGGTGGGCCTTGTGTCAGAATGAGAGGTATCCAGACCTCACCAATGGGGCTTGTAATGTAGAAGAAATCCAGGTGATCTGAAAAGGAGTGACCCAGATGGCATAAACAGTAACTGAGAAATCTTGCTGTGGAAATGCAGAAGCTGTCCCTTGGCCCTTCTCCGCCCTGCACCAGGATGGGACACAGATCGCGTGCATCCTTGCGTGATGCTCTGAGTTTTAGGTCTGTTGTTTCACCAGGCCAAACGCCCTCACGCTCTTTGGCATGTGTCATGTCTCCATCACCGGGTCAGAAAAAGCTCATAGCAGAGGGACCCTGCTCATTTATCTCTCAGTTCTTCATTCCAGCTTTGGACAAAGCCAAGCTTGGCCTTGAGCAAACTGGCCATCCAGGGTGGGCCAGTTTGTTTCATTTGGCTACCTGAAGTGGCGCTTCAAAGGAACCCATGTGCATTCACAAAATGGCTGACAATACAGGGCAATACCCAAAATAGGATTTTCCTCCTATGGCATTAACATGAACCAGAAGCCAACCCAGCAGCCTAGTCACGACACAGCAGGGAACAGGCTGACAGATACCAAGAGGTTATCTTGACTCCCCAAGGTGGCGTATTTTAGTGTTGAGCTGACGCCAGACCAAAACGTTTCTTTCACAGATCTTCTGCAATGACAAAACTGTGACCTCAGGGCTGCACTGTTCTGAGAATCCAGTGGTGTTCCTAGCCCAGATACAGTTTCTGATGTGCAAGTCATTTCAAGACAAAGACTGGGGAATTAATTTCTGTGGGACAATGAATCACCTCACCGCTTTAAATCAGACATGCAGTTTGTCAGACTTCAAGCACTAGCACATACCTCGACAAATACATTAAATGTGCAGCGGATGAGCTCGTACTGCTGTGCCTTGCGGGATTTAACTACCTGTGAGCTGTAGGTGCATTGCTTCCCACGCAGATCAGTGGATGTCCAGAAATATCATCTCCTGTGACTGAGAAAAAAGGAAAAGCCACGTCCTGAATGTTTTTTCACTCAGCCATGTATAAAACAATTTCATTCCCCTTAGACGGCAGTGTCTGGCTACTCTAAATGCATCACCCTGGATGAGGAAGCTCTTAGCCAGGCAGGATGTTCAGGGCAAGAGGCAGAGGTCAGGAGGGGCTGAGCTCATACAAACTGTGCACTGAGTCACCTCCCAAAATTTCCTAATCCAGCTATACTTGTAGCAGTGCCCAACACTAATCTAAAAGCCCCATGACAGTTGGAAGATCCCTGGCAGGGACAAACCTTGTGCAGAACCAGGAAGAATTTTGAACCCTGAAGCTGCTGATGCAAAAGGCACTTGGAAAAAAGTTACTGACTGCAAGATGTTGAGCTGGAGAGGGCTCACAGCTTGCCAGAAAAGCAAAGCTCCTGCGAGATTTCCAGAAGAGGGACAGACTACCCCTTGCTGTTAGGAGTCTGTTTCCTCTCTCTCGGGGTCAGCAGGGATTAGCCTAGGCTGTATACTCTGTCACACATCCTGGAATAAAAGGATAAAAGTTCTGGCTTTGGCTTCACATTTACATTAGCAGGACCATCCCAACACCAAAGGGTTCATCAGCCTTGTCTATAGCCTGTGTCCTGCTTCCCCTCATACAACAATCCTCACCTCACTGCTCTGCTGCTTCTGTGAATAATCAGGAGCAACCTGTGATGCCACAGGGTCCAAAACAGGGAAACTGGGCATTCCCTACAGCTACAGCAGGAGAAAAAAGTAAAGGATTGAGGAGGAGAAAGAAATCACTGTAGAAATTCAAGATAACAGTTTTATTTTGGGTTGAAATCTTCTCATGCAAGAATCTAATCTTGGTAAAAATCAGTTTATGTCTCTTTTTCACCTTCATGGAAACTGATTTTTTTTTTATTATTTGTGTCTAAACAGTCTGTAAAGTGATTAAACAAGGAGCT